CAACTGATAAAATAATATAGTAAAAGAAACAAAAAGGAAATTAAAACAATACACTGAATAAATACACTAAATATAACATTAATATGATAAAGAAAGAAACTAAAAAATGAAGGCAGTAATACAGAATCAGARGAACAAAACAGATATTAATACATAAAACATAAATAGGAAATTTTAGATATAATTTCTACCTTATCACTGATTACATTAAATGTAAATGGATAAGACTCTTCAGTTAAAAGGCAAAGATTGATGAGATGGGTTAAAAATAAAAACATGATCCATCCATATGCCAAAGAGACACACTTTAGATTCAAAGACACACATAGTTGTAATTTAAAKAATGTAAAAAGTATACCAATAAAATAGAAACCAAAAAAGAAGAAAAAATAGAAGAGCTGGAGGGGTTATACTAATATCAGACAAAATAGACTTTAAGGCAAAGATTATTATTAGCAATAATGAAAGACATTTTATAATGATAAGAAGATCAATTCATCATGAAGATGAAACAAGAGAGTGTACATTTCTAATAGCAGAGACCCAAATAACATAAGGCAAAAATTGACAGAACCAAAAGAGAAAATAATTCAACAATAATAGAGACTTCAATAACCTGGTTTTAATAATAGAACAAGTAAATAGAATATAACTTTCAAAAAATAAGACAAACAAACAAAAAAGACTGGACCTAACAAATATTACTAGAATATTCCACCCAAGGAAAGCATAATATACTTTGTGTATACTATGTATGTATATGTGTACATGCAAAGTGTACAGGAAACATCCTCTAAATTAGAGAAAATATTAAGCTATAAAACAAGTCTCAATAAATTCAAGATGATTTAAATCATAGAAGGTATATTCTCTGACCCCAGTAGAATGAAACTAAAAATCAATTAAAGAAAAATAATTTGGGAAGTTCATAAATATAGGGAAATTAAACAATACTTCTAAGTAAGTAATAGATGAGAGAAGAAGTCACAAATGAAGTCCAAACATACTTTGAGATTAATTAAAAAAAACATACCAAAATTTAATGTAAATAAGGAAAATAGTTTACTCAAAAGGAAATCACAGTTGTAAATTACCACTCAAAAAAAGAAGTATTGAATCAATAACCTAATCTTCCATCTTAAGTAATAAATAAAGAGAAAAATAAAAGTGAAAAATGGAAAAGAAACAATAAAAATTATGGAAACAAACAAAAATAGAGAATATAAAACAATAGAGAAACTCAGCAAAGTCAAAAGATTATTCTTTGAAAATATCAACTAAATTGACAGACTTCTAGCTTTACTATCCAAGGACAAAAGAGAGAAGACTCAAACTTGAAAATCAGAATTGAAAAGGGGACACTACTATTGATCTTATAGAAATAAAAAGGAATAGAATAGATAGAAAAATGTATGCTGATAAATGAGATAACCTAGTTGAGATGGAGGAATACTAGAAAAAAATAAACTATCATAGCAGACGCAAGAAGAAACAGAACACCTGAACAGGTCTATAACAAGACTTTAAATCAGCATCAAAATCTTCCTACACAGGGCTTAACAGAGAACTTGCCTAGTGTGCCCAAGGCCAAGGGTTTCATTCCCAGCCCTGCAAAAGGGGAAAGAAAGGAAGGAAGGAGAGAGGGAGGGAAGGAAGGAGGGGAGGAGGGAGGGGAGGGGAGAGGAGGGAGAAAGAGAGAGAAAAAGAAAGAAAATTTTAAAAAATGAAAAAAAAAAAATTTCTACCTAGGACCAAGAAGGCTTCCAAGGGTATTCCACCAAATTAACACCAATTTTTCACAAACTCTGCCAATAAAATAAAAATAGAAGAAACATTTCGAGTTCCTTCTATATCAGGTTCATATGATCCTGACAGGAGAACCAAAGGCATCTCGAGAAAGGAAAGCCTGGGCCTCATTAAGGTGATGGTGCCTTAAACGGGGCCATCAAGAGAATAAAAAGGAACCCATCAGATGGTGGGCGACAGCTGCAAGTCCCCTATCTGATCAGGGTCTGCAATGCAGAGGAGGTAAAGAAGGTCGACAATTCAACAGCAAAAGACAACCCAATTTACAAATGGGCCAGAATTTTGAATGACTATTTCTCCAGAGGTATATGAATGGCCAATAAGCACATAAAATGCTCAATATAGTTAGTCATTAGGGAAATGAAAATCAGAACCTGTTATAGTTCAGATCAGAGGTGTCCCTCAAAAGCTCAGGGATGAGAAAATGCAAGGAGGTTCAGATGGTGAAAKGATGGGGTTATGAGAGCCTTAGTGTAACTAGAACATTAGTCCACTGATGAAGATTCACTAGGGAAACTGCAGGCAGGCAGGGTGCGACTGGAGGCGTGGGTGCTGGGGGAATGAGTGCCTTTGTCTGTGGTGCAGGGAGCTGTCCCTCCCTGCTTCCTGGTGTGACGTCCTGAGCGCTTTCTTCAACCACACTCTTCCACTRCACGTCCTGCCTCACCTTAGGCTCAGGGCGACGAAGCCGACYAAGGACTCAGACCTCTGAAACTGTGAGCCCCCAAATAAACTTCTCTAATTGTTCTTTTCAGGTCTTTTGTTCAGCMGCAGAGAAAAAGCTGACTAAAACAGAACCACAGTGAGAGAGCACTTCACAGCCATTAGGAGGGCCATTATAAAAACAGAAAATAACAAGTGCTGGCCAGGATATGGATAAATTAGAGCCCTCCTAAATTGCTAGTGTGAATATCAAATAGGGCAACCACTTTGGGAAACAATTTGGTCATTCTTCAAAAAGTTAAACATAGAATTAGCAATGTGACCCAGAAATTCCATTCCTAAGTAACAAATCAATCAAAACCAAATGAATCAAATGCCAAATTAATCAAAAACACATGTTTTCATAGACACTTGTACATGCATGTTCATAGAGCTTTTTCATAACAGCCCAWAGTAGAAGCAACCCAAATCATCATCAACTAATGAAAGGGGCAAACAAAATGTGGAGTATCCATAGCATGGAATATTATTTAGCCATAAACAGAAATGCAGCACTGGAACATGCCAGGTAATGGAGGAACCCTGAAAACACTAGCTAAAKGAAAGAAGCTGGACATGAAAGACCACATTATTTTGTGATTTCATTTATATTAAATGTTCAAAATATGGAAAAGCTATGGAGAGAGAATAGATCTGAAGTTGCCAGGGCCTGGGGCAGAGAGGAATGGGAAGAGAATGCTCATGAACATGACCTCTCTTTCAGTGATAAAAATGTTCTGAGGTGGACAGTGACGAAGAGAGTACACCCCATTGTTGAGAGCCACAGCCAAAGGGGCCCCAGCAAACTTCCAGCTGCCAGCTGATGATTGGCTCACAGCAGCCCCAGCAACATCTAGCTGATTGGCTCCTCTGYGGTGATGTTCATTGGGCTGTTTCCCTGCCCTTCAGACTGCCAGCTGATGATTGGCTCACAGCGGCCCCAGCAACATCTAGCTGATTGGCTCCTCCACGGAGCTGCTCATTGGGCTGTTTCCCTGCCCTTTCAGACCACGAAGCTACTCATTGGGGGACTTCTTTGGCTCCGCCCATGAAACCCAGCCAATCAGCCTCAAGAGCAGGAGGATTGTGGGAGGTGGAGAGGCTGGTGTGGGGGTGAGAGGCGTGTGGGAAGCCGGTGGTGGTGGCAGTTGGGCTCTGAGGGTTTTTTCCTGAGGAGCTGTTTTGTTTGGGGTTTGTAGTTCTAAAAATAAAGTTAGTTTCTTTTSACAAGTGGCTCCTGAATTGTGCCCAGACAGACTGCGGCACCCCATGAACGCACCACAAACCACTGCACTGTGTGTTTAAAGTGGTGAATGTATGCCACATGGATCACCTCAATTTAAAAAACAGTCCCTATATTTCAATTATGAGACAGTGTAAGGGGAAAAAACATTTTGATTCMTTTTGAAATGATGAATTAGAGATGGATCATAGATTAACTGTAAAAAATAAAATCATTAAAATTAGAACTTAATATGAAATACTATACTCAGACACCACAAGTGAAAAGATAACTCTGTATATTAAAATGTACGAATTCTACAGATCCTCATCATAACTTTAATAAATGAAAAGTAGTRGTTCAGGAGAAAATATTTGTAACATATATGACAATGGATTAACATCTGGTATGCACATTAGAGAGAAGGACAAAGTAAGAGAAAAGGTGGCAGGAGCTAGGAAACATCATCTAATACACACTCGAAGAAGTATGGTCACTCAGTGAACATCTGGAAGTTTCTAGGTAAGCTCAATAACACTAAGTGAGCCACAAAATAAAACCATCATTTGACAACATCGTATTCTTGTCCTAAAAATATATCATTTGCAGAAAGCATCAGAGAAGTTGGGTAGAAGCGGGTGCTTGCACAGATGACCAGGGACAAGTGTAAGCTGGTACACTCTTGCTGGAGAAAAATTTGGCAGTACATTCTAAAATATGTATATTGTAACCCAGGAATTCCATTTCTAAATAAAATCCTTGAAAAACCCCGTGCCCATGCATAGGGAGTGAAAAGTGGAAGGATGCCCACTGCAGGGCTCCTTACAGAGAGATGCCCGGAGCCCCCCAGCGTCCACTGCAGACAGATGGTTAGATAAGTCCATCCGCAGCCATCCCACTACACACCCCAGTGACCTTTCCCGAATGCCTGGCGAGCAAGGGAATGTCYTGGGAGAAACCAATTCCCAACAGTACTGTAGTAAGACCCCGGTGAGGGAAAGCAAAATGAAGTCAACCACCGCTACTCACCAGAGCACCCGCCCTCCCTGGGAGGCTCTAGGTGAGGAAGGGGCGTGCACTCCCAGGTTTGAAATTTATATAACACTTTACTGTTTGAAGCTTTACAAGAATTAACAAAGATTTATATAAGATATACAGCTAAAAGTATACTTATAGTTTATGTAATACTCTTTAATACTAGTTTAAAATGTAATACTCTTTAATACTARTTTAAAATTCTGATTTAACTCATAAATAAAAAAAATCTTACCTTCCAAATTTTCAATTTTTTCAATGTTGTTTAAAGCTAAATTCAAATATTCAAGCTTCTTGAGTTTGCTAACATTTTCTGAAATATACAAAAATGTAATCAACCTTCAAGATAAAAAGACATTTTTACACATTTATTATGAAAATGATAMGATCGGTGGATTATTATTATGGTTATTATAATCATGCGGTAAAATACTAGATATCCTCACTGTTAAGCCACAGCTGAATTGGGTTTCTTTTACTTAAAGCCAAGACCATCCTGATACAGGACTATCTTTTTTAATAAATCTGAATGCCCATATAGACAAAACAACAAGTAGAAACAAGCCCAGGAACCACGGTAGAATGGGACTTTTAAAGACAGCTAATAAGATAGCAGGTATTGCCGAGTGCCTGTTATGTGTCCCTCAATGTTGTAAGCACTCTGCATATATTATCCAATCCCCATAATAACCCCGTGAGGTGAAATCTATTGCTGTCTCCCTTTTACAAATGAGAATACCGAGGTACAGAGAATTAATCCATTTGTCGAAGGTTACATGGTACAGCCAGGAAATTTGACTCCGCAGCTTGGCACTAAATCATTACACTGTGCCTTGAAAGAACAGTTCTTTCTAAGAYGACATGAATGATGAAATTCCTGCTAAGGAATGTGAGTTTGGGACACCCTCACTTAAATAATGTCTTTTCTGCCCATTTCTCAGGGTTACTATGAAAACCCAACATGATGATTTATAAGCATCACCCTTGTCATCATTAATAGCTCATCTAAAATTTATAAAATTCATATATTTGTTCTCACGGACCTGAGAGTAACACTTCAGAAATTGGGGTCTCAGTCTACTCATGTTTTAAAATTTGTGGATAAACTAAGTTTCTCTCTGCAATTATTCAAGTAATACTAATGTTTACAAAAAGCTCCCTAGCAACGGCTGAGCATTCCACAGTCAACAGATTTGGAGGTGTCTACGTGCCAAGAATTATGATAGACAGAATGTCTAGCCTGCATCCTGCACAAAAATACCCAGTGTCATCCTTGTTAAAATAGCCACCCACATGAAAACACCTGTCGCAAGGAGAATTCCCTTCCCCTCCTTGGTCTTTGTCATATGTATAGCCTCCAACTCCTGCAAAGTCACCTGATAGGAATAACCATAGATTTGTTCAGCAAGAATTTCTTCAAATAACTCATCAAGAACCAAGGCAATGGGTTGGTCAGGAGAAAAGAAAAACAAAACAAAACAAAAAGCCTCCATTAGGAAAAATGACGAGGCCCTCTGAGGAAGTGGGAAGAGGGAGTTTCAGCCCTAATATGTGAAAGCAGTTATCACCCACTGCACAAGCAGAGCCATCAACTTGGAGGGGGACACGTTCCTTCCCAGGTGGAAGAAGCTCTGCAGACCCCCGCTTTATGAGGCCTGTTGTGAAGTTGGGCACTAGAGCCGCCCCCACAGGTTCTGCACTTTAAAGGGACCCCAGATGGTCCTCAGCTCACACTTGGCTCAGCGCTGCSTAGAGCTTCCTCCACAGCCCATCTGCATCTCCCAGCAGGAACAGAGCTCTAGGAAAGAAACTGTTTCACAAACTTCTACCTCAAAGGCACAAGATTTGAATCCCAGAGAAGTAGTTTCACTTGCTAAATAAGTGCCTAAATGCCTATGGGTGGAGCAGCACTGAAAATCCCCATTATTAGGATTTAAAAGAGTGTTTAATTTAAGAATACTTTGGAAGCAAAAATTTAAGCTTTCTCACAGCTCTGAAAAGGCATGAAATACTATGCTACTAATTAGTAATTGTGATGGACCCAGCTGTGGAGATTAAAATTCGGGAACTCTTTTAGATGTGTACAATTAGGACCGCTCTTCAACAGCCCATGCAGAAAAGCTGGTGGTGTTCTGTAAGAGTCTTTTTAATTGAACAATATGCCAGAGTTTCTAATTTCTGGTAAAGTAAAAGATGCCGAAAATAATTATCTGAAGAAATATAGAGTTTTAGTAAATCTTCCAAAAATGAAGCAAATCTAGGCTTTTTACAATCCCAGAGCCAGTTTTCAATGATCCATAGGGTTTCTCGACCTCAGCAGTGCTGACATCTTGGACTGGAAATTCTCGTGGGGAGCCGCCCTGGGCATGGTGTGATGGATAGCAGTATCCCTGGTCTCTCCCCCTAGATGTCAGTAACACCCTCTACATCACACACACACACACACACACACACACACACACACACACACACACACCTCTGAAAACCAAAATGTCTCCAGACTCTGCCACCTGCCCCCTGTTTAGAAGCACTGCATGTCACACTGAGAGTTGACGATGAACTTGAAGGCTGACCTCTGGGCTCCAGTGCAGAGCAGGGTGAGTACTTGCTGCCTCAACTGGTTCCAGCCCTTTTCCTCCAACTGCTTTACCTTCTCCTCTGCTCCACCTTCACTGGGCTGGCTGGGACGCTCTGGGGTAAATGACAACAGCATAGCAGCTGTCATCTAAGAGCATCTAAGAAGAGCACGTAGCTCGTGGTGAGCCTGGCACCAACTTGTGCGTTGGGTATTATTGGCCCAGTTTTATGGATGACAAACTGAAACAGGTACTGACTTGTCTCATTTCACACAGCTGACAAGTGGCAGAGGCAGGGCTCACCATCAGGTCCGCCTGACGCCAGAGCCTGGGCTTGCTTTTACCACCCACAGTGCTGCCAGCACTCCACCTGTTTCCAAGGGGCAAGACCTCCATTAGCGTGACCCCAGAGGCTTCTCTTCTCTGTGCTCCTTCATTCTTATGGGGGTACAGTGGGAGTGCTGGGGGTGGGGGAAGTTCCGGTTTATCTGATGGTAAACTGGAAGAAGAAACTGGGCGTGTTCAGTCCCACACTCTTTCCTGGCTTCTGGGATTTTTGTCAGCAGAAAGCACATGGTCCCAAGACCCTCTTGCCATCAATCACAGGCATTCATGGATAAGGGAAATCTGTGGTTGCCCAGTCTTGCATGTGGTAAGGTGGATAAATTTATTTGGGGGGCTGTATTAGCAACCCTACGTGGCTGCAAGTCTAATCCACATTCTTCCAAAAGCTTCATTAGTTGTAATACTAATGTTTGATTTTCATATCCCTAACCCTGCATTTATCTCTCATTTTCATTCTAAACTAGAACCCCATCAATGTCTGATACTGAGCGCAGCCTTGCACACATAGGATGCAGCAGAATTAACCATCACAGTCTGTGGTAACCTCAGTAGGACGGATTGAGTCCCACATAATCCTTTGGGTTTCCCAGAGTGACATAAAATGTCTGAGTTATATCTTCCTCCCTTGTAAACTTTTTAAAGAATCGGGTCGACTAATGTGTTCCTCAGATTTAACTCATCTCCCAACATGTTGTTGTCTTTCAGGCAACAAGAGCAATTACACATGGCAAGGTTCAGGGACACATTCCAACAYTTCTCCCAAGAGATGGCTAGCCCAATCCCCGAATGCTCTTTTTCATTTACTGTCTCCCTCTAAGAATAACACTGCATTTTCCAGAATTCTCCCATTCAAAATGCTAAAACATCATTAGAACAACGTATTGAAACTTACCGATTTTTCCAATGAGGTTATTTTGAAGATAGAGAATTTTTAAATCCCGGCACCACTTGTCAATATGTTCTAGCTTTTCTATTTCTTGCTGATGCAAGGAGAGTTCCTCCAGAGAAAAAATTACACACTCGTTGTGTTCCGCATTCCGCCTGATGAGATCTTCCGTGACTGAAAGAAAATTTGTTGCATGCTACATTTCCAACCCCATTGTCCGTCATCGGGTTCTTATATTCTTAATGCATTATTTTTCTTTGCAGTTAAATGTCTATTTGCCAGGCCCAAGTGATTTTCAAAAGAAATGAGATCAGAAAATTGATGCCCCCTCCTAGAGTTTCCATGATGCCATCATGTGAGTCAGAGGGAAGAAAGAGATGTGATGGTGTCTTCTATCACATTTGCATTGGCCTGTGTGGGGTCTATGTATCTTTTACTGTGTGGATACAGACAGAGTTGGCAACTTATGACTATCAGGGTGCTGCTATGGACTCTCATGGGGGCACCATGTCAAACCAGATGAGACCCCCTAACTGACCTGAGACAGAACAAGTTCCACCCAGAGGCAGGCTGGCTAACTGAGGAGGAAATAGGAGAATATCTCCCATCATTCAATAAGGAGGGGCCATTCACTCATTCATTTAACCAACATTTATTAATTTAAGTTCAGCTTAAGGGAAAGGAAAAGAACAATTAAGTCTTAGATTACAATCTTATAAAGTAAGCAATACTTAGTTTGCTTTCAGGAGGAATAAAATGCTGCTCAGAGGAGGAGCAGAGTTGCTTCCGCTTCCTAATAAGAATGAGGTATAGCCTGGGGCTTCTTAGACTAGGAAGATCAAGAATAGGCACCAAGTGGCTGGGGACCATACCATGCTCCCCTGCTGGAGCCAGGAATGAAATCATGGATCATCTTTATAAGATGCACCCAAGTCAAAGAGGCAATGACAATGGAGAAATCCTGCTATCCTAGTGCTGTTAAAGATGTTACTCCTGGGTGCAGTGGTGCACATCTATAACCCCAGCAACTTGGGTGAGACAGGAAGATCACAAATTTGAGGCCAGCCTCAAAACTTAGCAACTTAGCAAGACCCTGTCTCAAAATAAAAAATGAGAAAGGCTGGGGATGTGACTCATAGTAAAGCATCCCTGGGTTCRATCGCCAGTGCCAGGGGGAAAAACGATGTTATCAATATAGTTGAAGCCTCACTTTTTAAGCAGAATACTGCTTGCCCATTCTAGGGGACAATAAAGACTTCTTCATTGTCAGTGGAGGGTGCCAGGCACTACTCTAAATGCTTTGCATCTATTAAAGTGTGAATATGTAGAATTATTATTCACATTTGTCAGTTGAGGAATCAAAGGACAGAGTTTGAGTAACCTGCTTGAGYCTTGGCAGTCAGTGCCAACTGGGTTTTAAATGTGGAGTCCAGAGCCAGGYCCGGTGTTCCCAAGTTCTCTGCTGTGCCACTTCAACAGGAGCAAATAAGAGGCATTTGAGATTCCTCAGCTTCCCGAATATACAGATTCAACTAACTGAGGCAGGTTCTCCACAGCGCCTTTGGCTGCCCCACCTCTATACCACATCCTTAAAAATGGAGTTTGTCCTTCTTTTTAAATGTAAAAACATGTATGAATCAACCATTTGTGTGCAGTTAAGTGTACTTAGGTACTTCCATGGTAGGAGAGAGGGTGCTGCAATGACAGTTATTTAGGAAAAAAGACAAGGGGACTGTAGAGGTACCGAGATTAAAATACCATAAGTAAGGAATGTTCCAGCTGCTCTAAGCTTTGGCTCCACTGATAAGCAGAGACGGCTGCAAACCTGGCCTGGGAAGGGACTCTGGCTGCAAAGGAGGCTGAAGGGTAGCAGCCACCAGCCCTGGCTTGCTGGGACCCCTGTAAGGTATACTGTGCAGTCCCGGAAATGCCACCACTAGTTCATAGGGCAAGTTACACATAGTGTTCTGTTTGAGGAAGAAAAAAAAAAAAAAAGCAAAAACACAAAAAACAAAACTTCCTGAAACTAAATCTGAAAGGTATTAAAACTACCCCCTCCACACCAAGTTAGTTCTAACAGTTTTAATCAACTGATAATGAGTAAATGAGCAAAGCCAATTTGAGAATATGATAAAGTTACTATGSATTTAAAATGAATTCTCTATCTGTAATTTATCTACAAAAATAATTCTCTTCTCAAGGATGTAATGTGGGTTAAGGGTTTGAAATGGCACAACCAATATTATCTGAACAATCTTAATGAAATGTTGTAGATACTCATTTATCAGATCTCCAGTGCCTAATGGTGTGTAGCTACAGAACCCACCATCATACATGAGCATGGGCTCTGGATCCAGCCAGGGGTGGGAAGAAAGGTGAGGAGTAGACCAGAGATCCAGCTCTCCCCAGGCCAACTCCAAGGAGTCCGAGAAGCTTAAATTAAATGTAGTCTTCAGGGTTATTATCAAGGCATACTTCCCAAGAGAGAAAGAAGTACTTTATTTAGCAGTTTTATTTATAACTSGGCACAGGGCCTTTACATATATTCTTGCCCATATCCTGGTTGAGGCCTAAGTTTGGCATTCCTATCGAAGTTGTAACCTTCCTCACTTGAACTCCAAAGGAGCTGCCATCCGTGATTGGATCCAATGTGTCTGGGGGAATTCTGGTAGCATCTCCAGCATCACCTGGTCTCTGGCTTTGAATGGTCACATGAGCACCCAYACACCCTTCTTGGCTCTTGGGGGCCACTAAAGGTATCAACCATAGGCTTCCCTAGCTCTACAGTCCTAAGACTTTTCCAATCTGTTTAACCATGAAGACTTACAGGCCTGACAAAGTCCTACTGGTACCAAATATCATTCCACATTTTCTTACTAAATCYTCAAAATTTAAGAAACTCTTTTCATCTACTATTATATGTGTAAAACTGATCATTTGCATGCAATTATCAAATCATCCCTTTCAGAGGCATGCAGATATCAGAAAGGAGTTGTGTTGATCTCTGTCTCCTAATCATGAGATTTAAGATGTTAAAAAATCGCTATTAGATTAAAAGGGTGGGGTAAGGATATCCCAGAGCATGGATAACTAGTTCCTATGCACACAAAGGAGAGGAAGGCAGGTTGCCCAGMAGCAGCAAGTAAACACAATTAGGATAGACTTAAAAATGGAGAAGCCTAGAGGAAGGGAGAGCCCTTTTCTGAACTCTTTGAAAATAAGCAAAGTGCTGAGTGGCATATGGTTTTCCAGCACTCAGGAAACTGCTGTTACACAACACCACTTCACCTGCAATGGCAAACATCAGTGCAAAAACCAGAGTCCCCAAGAAGAAAATTGCAAAAATATCTACATGGTGTGTGGAGATTATAGCGTTTCACACTTTTAAATGGGAAAGCATTTTGCAGTTKTACATACTAATCTAAACCAAACATTCTTTAACTCCAAGGAACACTGTCACCTTTAGAAATTCCTACTCTGCATAATGCAGCACTACACTTAGGTGAGATCACTCTAGGAATTTAAACATTCTTGGGAAGCATTAGTATGCCATCATAAGAGTGTTTAACAATACCTGTTTGATGGTAAAGAATGTACAAAGGGACTAGATGAAACATTCCTTCACTTTCTTATTTTAGAAAAATTCAAATAACAAAATACAAGAGTCAGATTGACTTGGAGAAGTATCATGTTTTATAAATAGCCATATTTTTCATTGGATTAGAATAAAATCAACCAATATGAGTCTAGCATATTGTTCAGTATTGTCAAACATCATGAAAGAACTAGCAGATACACATGTGAAATAGATATTAAATAGAAATAAAGGAGTTACAAATAGGAAGTTTACCTTTTGTAGTATCTAAACTGTTTTTAACCATTTCAAATGAAAACTTTAAAAAACAGAATTACATATTTGCCCCATCTTTTCTTACTAGCTCAGGGTCATCCTCATGAGCATCAGGAGCAATTCTACTGATCCAGTGATACCTTTKGGAGCTATGCTATACAGGGTGCTATTAAAGAGCACAACATGCGATGGGGGAGGACAGAAGCATCCAGGAAGAGTGATAGACAGAAGGGAGGGTGGGCAGTGCTATTGAGTCAGAGGAAGGATGTCAGAAGAAGATTGTAGGGGGTGAAATCTAAGCTAAATCAGGAAATGAGAGTAGATGTTTACTAGAAAAAGAAACGAGGAGGGCACCCCAGGCTATCTTGGATGATGCAACCTGCTGCCCAGTCTCTCCTTCAAAACTGAGTCATTCCCCTCGATGCTGGGAGTGTCCATCTTCTTCTGGAGTCACCTCAGTTAAAGAAGCACACGTCCACCAAGGTCACATCTTTTCCAGGAGAGCCCTATTCAGAGAGGGTTGTGTGGCTGTAAAAGACCAGCCCTTCCTCAGAACTTGGACAAGTCAGTAGGTCTATCCTGAGTTTAGAGCTCCTGGGGCTGGTTAGCYGAGGCCTTCTTTAAGGTCCAAATTCCCCAAGAGCACTACCTCACAGACCTCCTGCATGCTAATCTCCATCCGAAAGTCTGCTTCCTGGAAGAATTGACTCCAGAAAAGATCCATGAAGGCTGATGGTCGCTAAGATGGGGACTTGTAGTTAGATCCCTTGCTACAGGAATGTCCATAYGGACACTGATGGTCAGTGGAACATAGTGCCTAGCCTGAGGTAGCTAGTAATCATCAAGGCTGAGTGGTGTTGAAAAGAGATGAGAGAGCAGCTGGAGGAARTGCACTAGTATGATACAGCAGACATTAGAGAAATATGGGGAAAACAATAGGCAAAGGGACAGWGGTATTGGGCAGATTGAGGCTACAAACAATTGGTAATGAAAGACTGAGATGCTAATTGGTTACTAAAAGCTAAATGTAAAAACCAGAGCACTGCAGTGGTAGCATATGATGAGGTTTTCATTTTGGAACCAGAGGGCAGAAAAAGCATAGGAGCAAGGCCAGACCAACTGTAAGACTAGCAGAGAATTTAGGCACCAGATATAATGGAGTCATAGGATAGGATTTATCCTCACAGCCTGAAATAACTTAAAATCCAGACAAAATGTATGAAAGCAATTTTTTAAAACACCGGTCTTCAGGAAATCAAGAGGAAAATTAGCATTTTGAACAGAATGAAAAAAWKGRAAAAAAATAGCATATCAAAATTTATGGGCTACAGCTACAAATTTATAGCACCAAATGCCTGCAGTAAGAAATGAGAACAGTCATGAACAAAAGCTTTCACTTTAAGAAACCAGAAAGAACAAATTAAACCTAGAATGAGCAGAAGAAAGTAAATAAAAGATTATAACAGCAATCAATAAAATGGAAAACCAAAAGTAGGCAAAGCCAATAAATATTAAGATTTAAGAAAATAAAATTAGATAAACTTCTACCCAGAAAGAAAGAAAGAAAGAAAGAAAGAAAGAAAGAAGATATGAAATACCAATATCAGGAGTGAGAAAAGTGATGTCATATCTATTGTACAGATGTTAAGAGGACAATAAAGGAATAATATAAATGATTTTATGCAAAAAATTCAAGAACTTACATTAAATAGGTAAATTCCTTAAAAGATAAAAACTACCAAAGCTCACTCGGGAAGACATGGGCGAGCTGCAAACCCTCTGCCTTCCAAAGTAATCAGATATGCAGTTAAAACCTTCCCACAAAGAAGGCACAGCTGTCTGCACTGATACACACTACCAAGAATTCGAGGAAAAACTAATATGCTATACATCCCAACCCTTCTAGAAAAATTGAAGTGTTAGCATGATATGGAGGCCATTTATAGGGAAGCATGGGGGAGATGCAATGTGTGAGAGGGATTGTAGGGGAGCAGCAGGGAGGACCACCCTCTCCACCTGAACCACTCAAATCTGTCCATCTGCCCTGATTCCTCAGGGGGCAGTGTGGTGCAATGCAGGGTCCAGAGGGCATCTTTGGGAGAAGGCATGTAAAACATTTAACCAGGCCTGGCACACAGTGAGTACTCAAAAGAGGAGTAGTCATTTGTCCTGCTGCCAGGACTTGGGTTTAGACCCATCTCTCCCATTTGAACTCCTACGTGGCCAAGTCATGTCTCGGAACAAAACCCTCCGGTTTCCCTGTCACTCTTGTGAATTTTAAATCTTGCAGATTTCTATATTCTCATTACAGTCTCCAAAATCTGTGTGTCTTGAGTCCCACCGGCCTTTTCCTGGGGACTTCCATTGTCTCTGCCCTCCATCTTTTTTTTTTTTTTTGTTTTTCCTATCCCTCACCTGGGCTCCCCCAATGACGGTCAAGAGGCCCTGTTCTCACTTTCACAAGCCTCCAATGTTTCCTTTTCCTGGGAGAAGCCTCAACCTACCTGGGAGTAAGGGCCCCTGTGTGCCCTCTGGGGATTCAGGCACCCCTCTCGAAACGGGCTACAACCACAACATCTGTGTTTGCCTTCTGCTAGGAAGGTGACCCCCTGTCTTGTTCATCAATGTGTCCTCACTGAATGACTCCGAGTGGGGCTGTAAATCTGATAAGTTAATGATGTAGCAAATGCAAGTGAGTGAGATTCAGAGAAAGAGCAAAGGGTAATCCACAAAGAAAAAGTTATGTTGATTAGGAAGAAAAATCAAATAAAACAGGTGGGACCAACCAAAGGTGCAGATGGCGCTCTCAGAGGAAAGATCTATTGGTGACTGTTTGGAGTGTGGTCCTAACATTTACAGACTCCTCCCTCCACCTTCTCTGATCCTCCCCACCCACTACCACAACCAGGCTGTCAGCGACTCCAAGGCAGCGACCCCATCATGTAGCACAGTCTCTTGAATAAAGAATATTAATTTTTACAGCACTTTTACAATGGCAAGTGTGATAAATTAGGTGGAGCTAAGCTAAACTGCCATTTGCGGGGGTCCAAAACGTGTTGATCAGAATGGTCCAAGCTCAAATAAATAACTGCTCACCATCACCTTGTGGACTCAACACTTYACATTTACTATGTCTGTAAAATAACACTTCACGTCGGAGATGAGGAGGCCGTGGCCCAGAGGTGAGGTCCCTGGCTCAAAGTCGCCGAGGCGGTGGAGACGCCTGTCCCCAGGGGCTCCGGGGCCTCCACTGCGGCATGCTATCCCTGGACGGTCCGCAGAGGGCTGCCCAGGACCACGACCTGCCTGGGACCTCGCGGCTGGGCTGGGCGGTGCGGGCCCCGACCCGGTGCTGACGCCTGAACCCGCGCGCGGCCGCGGCCCTCGGTCCAGGCCCACGCCCTTTTGCCCCCTCCCCGCCTCGCGGGTTCCGAGGAAGGGAAACCTGGGCCTCCTGGAACCGGCCGGTGCGGCGGGGACCCGCACGATCTGCGGACGGTGGGAAGGGCCGGATGGGGGCGGGAACGCGGAGGGGGTCGCTTACTCCGGCCCATGGCGCCTGTCGGCTTCGCTGGTCCGGGAAGCCCGACCCGGACCCCCAAGACTCGCTTCGCGCCTAGTAGCCACAGCTCAGCGCGTCCGGCGGGAACCCGGGAGCCATGGCAACGGGGACTCTACGGCGGCCGCGCGGGGCTAAGAGGAGCCGTGTTTCCTGCCCTTGGCTGGGAAAAGCCGGGAGACCTGGGGGGAAATCTCCGGAGGACACCAGGTCTCTCCCAACCAAAGGAGTCCTGGCCACGTCCCCGCCCGCGGCTTCCGCCCAATTCACTGTCCAGGCTGCTCAAAGAATCACCGGACGCCCTTACTTCCCAATGGGATCTGCCTCCTAGGCAGGACTTTCAGCATGCTGCACGTGTGTGTGTGTGTGTGTGTGAGAGAGAGAGAGAGAGAGAGAGAGAGAGACACTTGCCTCCTAGGCATGGCTTGGCTTTCAGCACGGTGTGTGTGTGTGTGTGTGTGTGTGTGTGTGTCTGAGTGTGTCTGATTTAGCTATACCTGTAACACCAGTGGGAATCATGGATCTCAAAGGATCTCAAAGGATCATGGTGAATCTTTTATGAGATAATTTCTTTGAATGAAAAATACTTCTTAAAAACAACAGGCTCAGTATAAAGACTAGTTGTCATTGTTATATTTCACCTCTTTAAAGTCTCTGCCCAACACCAATTTCCTGCTAACAGTTTTTTGTAAAAACACCATCCATTACCCCCTTCAATTTTTTCTATTATCTCATTTGGAGAAAAAAAAAGTGCAATATGTAAAAGGTAAAACCACCTTCCATTCCAGTTACAGTAAACAAACGGAGTGCATGCTTCTTATCTTAATATGAATATTTACATTTTAAAAAGAGATGCATAGACCAATGCTGAGTGCAAATAAATGTATTATTTCAGCAGATACCTGTTAAGAATTTATCATTGGTCCTTTTAAAGGTTTTTTCAAATGGAGACAAAAGTATGAATATGGGCAGAGAAGCAGGAAAGTCAAATGTGATGGAGGAAAGAAGGGGCCAGGGACACTGATCACTCTGGCAATGAAAGAACTGCATGGAAGAATTTTTGAACAGTAGCATCAGAGAACAGATTGTGGGTAATGGAGCCTTAAATGACAAGCTAAAATAATCGAACTGGAGTCGTGGGACATCAAGTGACATGACCCCATAGTGAGAGAAATATTTGGAGTTCCAACAAGACCCCCAAAGTGCTGAAACTATTAACTTAGGTGGCCTCTACTGTTTCTAAACACAAAAGTCTAGTTGCTCTCATTCCCCCATTTATTTTTTAAAGCAGGACAGTAGTGATAAAGATTATGAGCTGTGGCATTGAAAATGTGATTTAAGTCTACATAATGTTTGTTACGGTGTGGCACTGGGCAGATGATTCCACCTTTGAGAGCTGTACTCCTCCTCYATTTCCATATGAAGATGACAGTGTGGATAATCATCTTTGAATGTTCCTCTGAGACGTTGGAGCACTGACATCTGATTACTCATGGAGAAGGTGAAATGCCAAGAGTGGCAGGAGATTTTAGCAAATGTTCCTGTGCTTGAACTTGTGCATTTTGACAGCAAGAAGTTTATTGAGGCTTAAAAGGATCTGGCTTCTGGCAGGAAGTTAAAACAAGGAGGTATTTCAGGTAGAAAGATTAGTTTCTAAGTTGACAGTGGCATGTGATCAGGCTCAGTACAAAGGATATCAGTCTCTGAGTCAATCCAGGACTCTAGAAAGTTCTGAAGAGCAATTACAGTTCAGGGATCTGCCATGTTGGCTCTGGCTGGCGTCTCTCCTCACCCTCAGACTTACTCACTCTTAAACTTCCAGCCCCAGGCTTACCTCTCTAGTTGTCAAAGGAACTGCTCTACATTTGTCTCCTCCAAAGTTTATGTTGACTCTTAATCCCTAACGCAACAGTCTTAAGAGGAGTGGTCTTCAGGAGGTGATTAAGACATGAGGGCATAGTGGCATCCTGGGAAAAGTCTGACAGTAGGAAGGGCCCTTGTTCGCCCCTTCTGGCTCTTCCACCATGGAAGGACATAGTTTTCCTCCTGCCTAACGGACAGTGTTCTATGTTGGAAGCAGAGGCTGTATTCTCACCATAGAAACTGCTTCTGCCTTTGCAGCCTCCAGGACCATGAGAAATGAATTTCTGTTTCTTACAAACAACCCAGTGTTGGGTTATAGTAGCAAAACAGGACTAAGGCAGGACCTTAGATTTTTTCTGTGAACCTTAATTTCTGTAGGACCAAATTATTCCATTCCTCATTCATAAGTGAACAAACATGAAAGCTGTCCTTCTATGGGTACCAGTCCTAAGTTCTTTTTACGCACTGTGTGCTCAACACCACCTACACACTTGGAGATTGTTAACTCTATTAACAAGGCTGCTCAAAGCAGCCTTTGGAAAAGACTTGATATCATCAATATATTGCTGATAAGGAAATTGAATTCTAGTGAGATTGTATCACTGAGGTAAGCCAGAGTTTCATTCCTAGAGTAAGTGCTACTAAAGGGCAGAGGAGGACCTCCTTTGTTCATTTGCTTCCATCTCTAAGTTCTAGCTCTTAGCACAATTTCTGACACTCATTCGATACCCAGTAAATATTTGTTGAATAACCAAATGAGTCTGAGAGCAAACCTTTCCAAAAGTGTGATTGTTCTACATGCAAGGACCACATCTCCTGGCCTCAGCAGGATCACTAAGAAGGGTGTTATGAGCCGTGGAATGCAAACCAATAACATAGCAGGGTCACAGGTTTTCTTAAAATTGCTTTTAAGGCTAATAAATAATTGAGTCTCTTGTAGAAAAGTGATAGGTGTACCAATTCTGAGAATAAACATGGGGGGGAAAGGGGGAAATATTAAGAAATCTGTCAAGAAGAGAAGATCAGTGTGGCTAACTCCTGATAGTGTCTACTGAGGTCATTGTAAAATTAGGATTTATGGCCATAGGTTTCTTTTTTAAAACAAATATTTTTAGTTTAAATGGATACAACACCTTTATTTTGTTTATTTAATTTTATGCGGTGCTGGGGATCGAATCCAGGACCTCAAACATGCTAGGCAAGTGTTCTACCACTGAGCTACAACCCTAGTCCCCAATAGGTTTCTTAATGTATTCTAGAAGGGAAATTTCATTAATAGTGCAGGCACCCTAAGGTGAAGTTTGTCTCGTCATTGACATCAGCATCCTCATGAACATAGAATTGACTTGAGGAAGGAGACTCCCTGAGTGGAGGTCACCACAACTGTTCTGGAAAAGACCAACTAAGGTCAACCCCCCTCCCCCGAAGTTTAAGGAGGCATTAAATATCTATTTGGTGAAGGCTGCAGCAGGTAGACCCCAGTTCTCCTGGCAAACATCAAACAGCAATACATTTGGAAGCAGAATGGCTTCTGTTCTCATTCTCTGCTTGGAGTCAACCCACTCTTCCTCTTTCGAATGTTCTTTGCTTGAGCCTTGCTTTACTCTCACTTGTAATGAAATTCCTRGCTGGACTTTTTGTGTCTGATTTTACATTTTTTCATTGTGGCACAAGAATTAAAATGAGGTTTGGAGATCCTGGAGAAGCCAGGAACATGTCTTTGCTGTTTGCCTGGGCCATCCTGGACTGGTCATGCTGAGTCCTTCTCCACATCAGAGTCACTGCATTCCTTAGACCCATGGGTATGCAGGACGTGTGTGCAATGTGCTGTGATCATTACAGCTCGCTGACAGCAGAGGAAATTGGGAAATAAATCACAACATGGTGACATCTCCTAGTAAAGACGAGTTTATTTCACTCAACATGAATGATCTAGTTTAAAGAGTCATGATGCCTGTCTGTTTATGCAAATCATCATTCCAAATAGACTCGTGTCTTTGGCTCCTGGAAATAGAGCAAGATGAGCAATACTTCTTGAGCAAACTGCTGCAACATTTTGTGTGTAGAAAGTAGAAGAAATAAATCTTGAAGAGTTTTTATTTTTTAAATTCCAATCACAAGAAAATAGTCCTCCTACTTCATTTGTGCTGGATAAACTCCAGTCACATTGACCTAGAAAGCTCTGTGGTTCTTATTTTCATTGCTATATATAACTTAGTATTTTTATGATGGGTAACCAATACTCTGGTTCCAGTTCCATTATACTCTCCATTAATTTTCCTTCGAAAGTGTTTGTTCATCTCAGCTTCATAACCACTAAACCAAGCCTCCTAGTCTTCTAGTACCTCTACAACTTTGATTTTGTTCTTCCTTCTCCTTCCCTCCCACTTTTCTCCTCTTTCTCTCCCTTCCACTCTCCTTTCCTTCCATAGTGCAGTCTCTGGGAGGAGTGATTGATACAATATGCATAAAACCCATAGAAAAGCACTTGACAGAATGGATTAACTGTTGATTAAAAAAAAAAAAACAGGTAATCTCCCCCATAGGTGGTTACCCCCCAAAGTGGACGCTGTTATTATGCTCACTTTTCAGATTACGAAATCCAGTCTGTGTTGTCCCAATCCAACGTAAAAGATCTGAGACCATCAATCTGAACTGCCCAGCTTACCTCCAGGGAGATGGAAGGAGAGTTGCAGTGTTGACGTCAGTCTAGGAATCAGTCTGAGGGGTGACTGCTCCCTCATGGTGGGATGAAGCAGGAAAAGAGAAGAGAAGTAGATCAGCATGACTAGATTACTGTCCAGTGTCTCCTTGTCCCATGTCAGGGGCGTCAATTAGTGTAAATGAGTAAGAATTACCCAAACATCAGATGCTTCAATAATCAAATGGAAGAACAAACATACTCTTTAAAATTAAGTGTAGAATAAATTGTGATTATCTAAATTTATTTGCTTAAACTTCTGCCCATTTCCACTAGCTTAATAAGGCAAGAGTTGACATTTTAAGAAGGATTATTATTAATTTGAATATATTCAGAAGATAGTGACCAAGTACAGAGGTCTAAACAAATTACTCAACTTCTTTGAGTCTCAGTTTTCTTGTTGAAAAATGGGAACAGTTACTACATTAGAT